TCTGCAGCTATTCCATTACTGCAATACTCATTATTTAATGCTGCTACATGCACGTGGCACTCCCCTATCCCACATGCAAGGATCCCATCAACCCCCTGGGCAGCAAAAAGTGGGTGCTCCTGTCAGCCAATATCCTATAGATACTCGTGATCCCAAATCTTTCTCCAAGCCCTTCTGGCAGCACAAGTGTCTCAGCCACAAGGCTGCTTTATTTGCCTCTCTCTATATGATCCTATTAAACACTTGTGCCTTAGCACAAAGGGAAATTCCAATTGCTCTAGAGCAACAATAGGCTCCCTTTGTAATTTCCATTCCCCAGCCTCTCTGCCACATCCTATCTGCAGAAAATATTGTTCTCCAACACACTGATGAACTATTGCCTATCACATGGGCAAAATCTGATCTGTGAGGACACAACAGCAACACTCCATCCTTAGCACATTTGCTTACAGCTCTATTTTGACAGACAGCAGATAATTTTTGATTTATTAAATAATGCTCTACTGCATTTATGTTTAAGATACCTTATACAAGTCTACACATATTTCAAGAAAGGACCTTAAGCTATGTCAAGACAGACTATTAGCCTTCTCATTTCCCAAACTGGGAGACCCATTACACAGAAAGGGGAAGCAGCTTTCCCTTGAAGAGGCAACTGCTCAGAGGCAAAACTGTGAAAAAAACCCAATCTCCTGACTCTTCATTAATGGCTGTAGTCACTAGACAGTGTAACCTTTAGACCATTCCAAGAAGTATCCATCTGTGGAAAAGAAATTAGGGAAATGAAAGCACATCTCTGCATCAAAGTGTTCCTTTCAGCACTGATTGAAACAAAGTACGTCACTGCTTTGACACAAAACTCTGGAGAAAGAAAGGGCCCACCTTGCAATCCGTTTATTTGCATATACAGGTCTGGAAGGGAAAATTCTCCCTTCTCTGCGCACTGGACCTTCTTGAAAGGTTAATGATTATGTTTGTCTAGAAGTTAAACTTCATGAAAGGCTTCTCTGAGCCAATCTTTGACTCAAGTGCTTTCACAGAACACCCCACACAATGAATGCCATTCCACAGGCAGCTGCAAGTAAATAGCATTGACTTCAGGTTTCAAGCATGTTATCATGGGAAAGAAACAAACTATTTTTGGAAACAAGCAAAAGAGCTTAAAAATCAAAAAAGGTGGAAAAAGAATAGACAGAAACATAACTAAGAATTACAAATCCTGTAATGAATTATTTAATTGTTACACAGTAAAAATTAAAGGTTTTCCTTTATGCGTAAATGAGCAGGCAGCACTGGAAGCAAAGAATACACTTTTCCCACCTACAATACAAGATTTGCTGTCACATGATGCCAGGGAGGTTAGACACAGACAGACTCCAAAGAGGATTAAACAAATCAGTGAGGGACAGATCCATTAGCAATTATGAAGCAGGATGGACCCAAATCCAGCTTTGGCTAAGAACAGTCCTTAACTGCTGTCAAGAGAAGAAGGGACACTTCCACACCCACCTTTACTCTTTGTCATTTTGTTCCCACCATCTGCTCTAGGAGCCCGGATCAATACCTGCGAGGCACAAAGATGGCCATTTTTGTTTCCACTGAACAATTAACCTTCTCAGAACCACCAGAAATGCCGGGATAACGGACGGGGAATTGAACCGTCAGGAACGCAGCGCGCGTGAGCCTGGAGCGCCCTCTGGGGGTAGCAGCGGGTGTGCCGCGCATCCCACACCCCTCCCTCGGAGGACGCCTGGACCGAGCCAAAACTGTCCCTAAGGAAAGCCATGGTGAGCCCAGAGAGCCTGCAGTCACCTGGACACAAAAGGAATAACATATCCATGGCTGGCTGAATTCTCCTCCTCTTTGTCCTATTTCTCCCAAAGCAAGGCCTTCTCAAATGTTAAACTTTTTAAAGTAAAAAAAAATAATAAATACTTGCCTTGGGAAAAAGTCTTTTTCTTCCATTAATAGTGAGGGAGAGATAGGGATGCCTTGACATTACAATAATCACCTAACAAAGATAATTCATTGTGCACATCCCATAACTTTGGTCCAAATGTTCCCCAGTGCAGAAACCTGGCTCTGGTGCCACAGGAGGAAAGCTGGGAGGATGCCGAGTTCCAAAGGCCTTCACAAACCCACCCAGCACTCACAATAGCCAGTCCAAAGCTTTTCTCAGCAGGCCAGAGCTTGAACAGGACCTGCTCTTTCCCTGCTTTTGGCTGCCTGTCCCCTCCCCAGGCAGATTCCCATGGAACAGAAGAACAAAGCCACATGCGCTGTAAAATATTCCCGGAGGGAGAGAACAGGAGAGGGCTCAGCTACCAGAGAGAACTAAATAGATGACATGGGGGCAAATTTCACACAGGACAGAATTAAGCAGACAAGGGAGCTTCTCTCTCTGCGTGTGTCTCTGTCCCCAAGCCTGAAACAATACCCATGGTTTAGGTCCTGCTGTGTTTAATTTCATGCCATTACCAAGGCGCTGGGAGCAAGAGTCATAAATAACCCTTCTGTTGTAGCCAGAGAACAACATGTGTGCCATCAACATGGCTCCCTTTCTTCTCTGACTCGAGTCAACACACAGGAGCACCTGCAGAAGCTACACACAGAAAATCACGAAGAAAATTTTGAAGCTTCCTGTGTATCTGCACTAACGAGTCAGTTTATGTAGTCACATTTTCTCAGCCAAAAACAAGATGTGTGGCTTGTGTGTGCAGTCACAGATAAACTTGAGCCTGGGATAACAATGATTCCTAAAGGACATTATTAAAAGGATTATTTACAGAAATTATCCAGTGAAAAGTTTCAGCACTACTGGTTTTAATAACACTGCAGACAAAGTCTAAACAAAAGGAAAGCAACAGATTCAATGAACTTTAACATTTCTGAAAGCACGTACTTCCACTGCAGTTTTCAAGTCCAGTGAAGGATTAAAAAAATTACTGATGAAACAAGACATAGACAAAGCCCAATCCAAACACATCACACAAAGTCAGTGATTAGCAACCTTTCCTTCCAGCAGAAGGAAAGGATCTGGATATGACTATGCACAAGTTAGACACAACTCCTGAAAGCAGCACCAGTCCTGCAAGGGGCTGCTGAATAGCTGGATTTTTTCCCCATGGCTCTCCTGTCACAGGAACCTCCCCAGCACATCACAAGCAAACTCACCATTGCCCACAGAGCTCCATTCCTGAATCATTATCATAAACTTCTGGTCTTCTGTAATAAATGTGTTGAAAATGTGCCTTCATAGTAATTTAAGCAAGACAACAAAGTTTTGCCAGAGACAAGGTTTGGGTTAAGCTGTTTACACTCCATTTTTGCACTGGGGTATGTTAAGTGGTTTCAAACACAGCACTGCACTCCAGTTTGGGCCAGCAGAGATGCTTTTACCAAAATCAGGCATGTGGGCTCAATTAACAACATTCTCAAGCATTGGCCAGCCCAGCTTCCAGTCCACACAATAGGCTTTTGTTTTGAGCCTGGCACTGCATGGGGACAACCAGAGCATAGCTCCAGAGAAAGCCTCACCAGCAGATACTTTGACTTGCAGAAGACAGAAGCTCTCCCTGACTGCAATACTCCCATTGCATCCATGAACTAACTTGAATTTGAAGGTTGGAAATACTTTTTTGAATCATCCAGAGCAGAAATACTGTTGACAATAATAAAATTAACCATCACTGGCTCCAACTGGCAAAATTATTCCTTGGAGCTCCATCTCCAAACTCAATCACCACAGAATGATCAATCCAGACCAGGCAGAGAGTGCCCAACTTTGCTGGACACAAGTGTCAGCACGATGACTTAGGGCCCAGCAGATTCTCCATGGGGTGCTGCTGATGACCCACACCAAACCAAGAATCTGGTTCTAAATATTCTTTCCCCTCTCTGACTTAAGAGGATGTCTGTGCTGTAGATGTGCTGATTCCCACTAAATGCTCTGGAACCCCCTCATGAATTCCAGTAGCACCCTTCTCCTGAAAGGGCACGACAGAAGCACAGGTTGTCTTTGTCCTTAAATTTTTGTTTAACTTTTGCACATTACAACAGGCAAACAATTGAAGAAATGACTACTAGACTGAAAAAAGCTTAAGCTTCTGGGACTCATAAATGGACAAGGTAAGAAGACCACTTCATTTCCAAAAGCTAACACAGGTTCCAAACGAGAACAAATTCTCAGAAGGTAAAAACCCCAAACCAATCTAAAATAAACAAAAAACGCACCTTGCAAATCCTAAGCCCTCCTGAGGATTAGTAAACAAAAATTTTCCTTGCTAGGATGGCCCATGTGCTGAAAGTGAAAGCTAGGCTACTGTCAGGGCAAGTGTCACCATGTAGATCTTAAGCTCTTCCATAGCAGTAGGAATGTTGGGGAACACATAGTTTTAACTTGGTCATATATGGCTGTCCTTTGCATTCTTATGACTGACAGTCATGCTTAATTCCAGCCCAGGTCAGAACTTACCTTTCAGATTCCTGTATTTGTCCAGAAACCACCACGGAGCCATGAGACAGATGGTAGGTGCCACTTCCTACCAGCCACCACATGGACACTCAAGCTCTCTGGATTCCATTACTGTTTTCCTACTACTGCAGGGCTCTGCTGGCAACCACTGGATATTGTTTAGATTCCTGTATGCACTAAACCACTGGGATATAGCAGTAGATGTTTTGAACTTCTCAGGAGTCCTTACTATTGCACAACTAAGGAAAGCAAAGCCACATCCTTAAATCAATGGCAATTGATTTCTGTGTAATTATGGGATACATCAGCTTGCAACATCCCTCCCTCTGAGGCAGGAGGCAAAGGTTACCAGCATCAGGTCCAGATCACAAGCTTTGAATCATTATAAAAGAAGTGGAGCGATCTGATTTCCCCATCACTGCAGCCTCACAACATACAGGAAGCCTCCACAACAATGCCCTGATTGTATTGTGTCATGTAACTCACACATCCAAACCTGCCCCTGCCACATTCCCCACATTCATACCTCTGTTTCAGGCCGTGGAATAAATACTGGGGGTCTCATCTTCAAGGTCAGGTCCTGGAAATCCCACTCTCCAAGCACGTACTGCACCGGCATCCTGCAGCAGGCAAAAGGAGTTGTGAGCGCTTTGGGACTGTGCTGGGCGACCAGAGGCGCTCTTGTGCTGTGCTCACTGCTAAGCACAACCCCTGCTGAGGGCCAGCAATTGCATCAGCAATGTGCATGTGCACGCTGAGGGAGATCCCTCGGCACAGCCCAGCTTGTTATCAAGAACTGGAATCGGGAACTACAGGTCAGTCAGCCCCACCTCGATGCTGGGGAAAGTGATGGAACAAAGAGTCCTCGAGGCTGTGTCCAAACATGCCAAGTGCAGGAAGGTGATTGGGAGTATTCAGCACAGATTTACAATGGGGAAATCATTCCTGAGTGAGCTGATAGTCACCCATGACACAATGACCAGTTTGGTGCATCAAAACCACGTCTTGATTTTCCCTAGGGTTCTGACACTGTCTCCCATAATATCCTCATACACAAGCTGATGCAGTACAGACTGGATAAATGGGCCGGAAACCGACTGAACTGTCACACTTGGAAGGCTTATTTCAGCAGCACAAGGCCCAGCTGAAGGCTGATTCCTAGTGGAGTACCCCAGGATCAATGTCCTGTAACGCCTTAATGGTCTGGGTTAAGGGACAGAGCACCCCTGGCATGCCTGCAGTGACAGAGAATTAACTGAGAGGAGAAATTAACAGACAGGATGGGTGTGCAACTTTTCAGAGAGACCTCTGGAGAAATGGGCTGACAGGAATCTCATAAAATTCAGAAAGGTGCAATACAAAATCATATAAACTGGGAAGGAATAACCCCATTCATCAGTACAGGCTGGGGCCTGACCAATTGGACAGTGGCCTTGCAGGTGGACAAGTAGTGCCTCTCACTCAAATCACCATAAGAGATCACCAGAGTACAGTTACTTGACATCTGAGCTGCCTTCCCTCTGCTGCCATTCTCCTGGCTGCTTTAAGGCTAAAGGAAAGCCCTCCAAAGGAACAGGTACAAGAGGATTGCTCCTACCTTTGTAGCCGCTTGTGGCTCAGCTGCTGGATTTGCTCCTGCTGCAGTGCTGTGAGTGGAGTGTGGAGGCTTTTGGAATCCAGGCTCTGAAACTGAAGACAAAGTGACTTCAAAACCTGCCCACCTCTGCCACCCTGCCAAGGGCATCCTCCAGGGTGACACAGGATGCTAACAATTGCCTGGGACTGCTGGAAACCAGATGGAGAGCGATCAGAAGAACCCATCTGCGTGTTTAGAAACAAACCTTTACTACTGTTCTTCTGCTACTTTTGGGGATTCACAAGAATAATTAAAATTAAGAATAATTTCATCAGGCAAGTCAGGGTGGATGTTTATGTTACACTTCAGTGTCTGCAAAAGAGAGCATTTAAGAGACACTTGAGTGTTCTACTGGCAATAATAAACTATCCCTCACCCTCTCTGCCATCTAAGGGAGGATAAGTTGTTCTACTCCCCCTAAAAGAGATAGAAAGGAAAGAGATCCAATCAAAATGAAAAAGTGAGAAGCACACACAGACCTTATTCTTTTCCTGTTACTTAACTGTTTTTGCTCCCAGGACAAACGACACGATATATTGACTGGATTCTCGTGCTTCAGGGATCCCATTTGTCTCGAACACCTTCTGCCAATAGTTGACCGTATCAGTGGCAGTCATGAGCCCAGGTGCTGCACCGCAGCTCTGCCTCAGAAACAACTGCTTTGGACTGAGGACAGCACCTTTACTGAAGGGAGTCCTTCGCCCTGGCACATGCTGAGGTGGGAGACTCAGCAACCTCCTGAGCAGTGGATGGGTGAGGCATCTCATTGTGCCAAAGTTTCTGGCTTCCACAAGTGTTCCTCGTTGCCACCTACTGATCTCTCAGTGCTGAGATTCATCTGGTGCTACCACAAGTCACTGGCTAAGCACCAGCTGACCACAGTCAGTGGGTTCTCCACAGGGCAGCATTTGCAGCTCTTCTAGGCAAGAAAACAAGGCAAGAGAAGAGTGTGAATTCCTCAGGCTACTAATTAACAGGTTCCTCTGTGACAGAATGCAGACTGCTTGCCCTAATCCCAGCCCACAAGCACAAAACCAATTACTCACACTGTACCAGTAACAAAGTACTACCCCCCAAAAAGATTCATGCCAACCAGCTAAGCCACTGCAACCCACTTCTTCCCAGAGCAGCCCAGCTCCAGAGGTCAGAGGCCAATCCGTGCCCATGGCAGGGCAGAAGCAAGCTGCCCACACACAGGCACAGCTCTCCTGCCTGTCCTTGGTCCCAGAAAGCCACTGACACATCAACCTTCAGCTCCAGCCCTTGGCCCTCCACCCCACAGGTGGGTCACCCTGGTTTCCCTGTAGAAAGACCTTCAGTCCCTCCTAGATTATTTGTTTTATTCCTCTCTCTGTTCATAATCCACAAGGAGGTTGGCAGGGATGCTCACAGAAGACCTGGACCTCATGGATCAAGGATCTTTCACACTGCCACCATCTCCAGAGGGCAAACAAGGGGACACAGAGGCAGAGCTGAACTGCTAAGAGCAGAGGAAGGAGAAAACCTCACAACATATTAGAGGGAAGAGAAACACTTGAAAGATGGAAAGGCCAGAAAGGGCAAGCCCTGCTAGAGGGAAGTCGGTCTCTTAAAGGAGAGAAGAGCAGAGCCAGACAGAGGGAATAAAAACAAACAAGATGACTGCAGGAGACAAAGGAAATGAAACTTTACAAAACAGCTGCTGCATATCACACTTGGAACTCTGCGAGACAAACAGAACAACAACCACATTTTCCTGCTGTGACCCATGAAGAATGAGGGCCCCTCTCCTTTCTGACTCACAGTCCCTGGAGCAACTATGGGTTTCCCTGAGCACTCCTTGCCATTTTTCTATTGATGGATGGTTTTCAACACTGTCTCACAGAGGCCACAACCTCCTCTACTCCAATTTCTCCAAAAAATCACCCCACAACCTAAATATCTCTCCTGAGGAGCTGGCAGCTGCCCCCTAGGAATGCTCCTGCAGGGAGAGCTGGGGAGACTGACTTGGCTCCAGCCTGGCAGATGCTGGCACCACAGTCCTGCTCCTGCTGCACAGGGAAATCCTGGAACAGTCAGGCCTCACAGCCCACGACTGGAGGGCACAAACACAGCCCTCCAGCCCTTCCACAGGGAAGCAGCAGAAGGAATACCCTGCAGCAAAGATCTCTAGATTGTCTTACCTGCTACCTCCTGGCAAAGGGCTGGATGCTCTAAGAGCTCAAAGATCCCCTTTTTACCATCTGCATTACTCTCAGCAGAGAGACAAACAGCTCCCATGAAAACTTGCCTTTTATGTAAAGCCTGTCAGCTACAGTATTTATTTGGGAAGCTTCCCACTCCATGGCCCTGTTCACTGCTACAAGAGAAACACTAAAAGAATAAAATGTTAACAACCATTAGCATTTTAAGGGAGGCAGAGAAGACTACAATTGGTTGAATTGACTTTAATTGGTTGAAACAATTTGCACAGAATCACTGGGGTTAGAAAGGACCTTTGGAGATCATCCAATGCAATTTCCCAATCAAGGAAGGTGACACAGGAACATGGCCATGTGGGTTATCGTATCTACAGAGAGGGAGACCCCTTGAGCCCCCTGAGCAGTCTATTCCAGCACCCTGACACCCTCAGTGTAAAGTTCTTTCTAATGTTGAGGTGAAACTTCTTGTGTTTTACTTCATGGCCATTACCCCTCATCTTGCTGCTGACATCACTTTCTTGACAACCTCCTTTAAGATATTTATACACATTCATGAGATCCCCTCTCAGGTTTCTCTGGACTAAACAGGCCCAACTCCTGCAGTCTCTCCTCATAAATCACATAATCCAGACCCCTCATCACCTTTGTTGCCTCTGCTGGACCCTCTCCAGTGGCTCCTTGTCTTGTCTCTTTTAAGAAAGCACACCAGCTACTGATGTGAAGTCCCTGCATTCTACTTGGTATAAAGTCTGCACACAGGTAGGAAGCAGATTTCCTTTCCCCTCTGGAGTTCCTCTTGAGTGGTTTGGCCCTTTCAGCCCCATCTCCCACTCCCTGTAGCCTCACACGTGCACAGGTGGCTGTGGAAAGGCCCTGCCCCACTCACAGGTTTGATCAAGGGCTGCAGCTCGCACCGTCCAAGTCCTGTTCCAGCTGCTGTCAGCGTCCGGCCGAGCCAGCGCCGCACGGGGAGGGCAGCCAGGAGCCGTATGAGCAGCGCCGGGACCGGAGCCGGCTCCCCTTCCAGTCTCCCAGCTTTCCCCCCACATTTAACACCGTGAGCACGCCCGGGGGATCCCTTCGCCTGAGGGGCGAGAGTGGGCCCGGGGCTGCTCTGAGGCGAGCGCGCGCACAGCGACGCCTCACCTCATGGCTCCCGGCGCGGCCGGGGTCACAGCCTGCTCCCTCGGGGCCGGGAGCCCGACCGGCTCCAGTGGGGCTGGGGGCACAGCTGGCTGCCTCAGGAACCGGAACCGGGACCGGGGCCAGGGGCAGTCGCCTCCCGTCCCGCCATAGGGCCGTGAAGGAGCAGCCGCGCGCGGAGCCGCTCCCGAGCGCGCCGCCGGCCCGCCGCCGCCGCGCGCATGAGTGACAACCGCACCAACCAATCGTGAGCCGAGCCCCACGAACGCCGACCAATGGCCTGGAGCAGCGTGCGGGGGGGCGGGACCAGCGGCGGTGCGCGCGGAGCCGAGCGGCGCGGCCCGGCCCGGCCCGGCCCTCGCGGCCCCGGGCGCGGCCCCCGGCGGCCGCTCCGCCCGCGCCCCGGGGGGACCGGACGCCTCAGCGGGAGCGCGCAGTAAGTGCCGGCCCGGCCGCCCCGGCGCGGGGAGCGCTTCCAGGGGGGAGTGGGGTGGGCCGGACCGGGCCGCGGGGGTGTTCGGCTGCGCCGTCCCGTCCCTCCCGTGGGCACTGCGGGGCTGCCGCGGCCTCTCGGCGGCCGGTCCCGGCCGTGTCCCGGGCGGGCCCGGCGGGGCGGCGGCAGCGCAGCGCGGGGAGCCGGCTGTGAGCCCGCGGCTGAGCCAGCTCCGCCTGGGCAGGGGAAGGGCCCCGTACCCCGTTATCCACCTGGAAAGTTCTCCTCGGGATGGGGAAGGAGGGACTGCCCTCAGGGCTGGAGCCCCCGGCCGAGTGCGGTGGCACTGCCCGCACGGGACGGGGCGGTCGCTGCCATTGCCGTGCGTGTCAGAGCGGGATCTCAGGAGCGGTGACATTGCTGGGAGGGTCCCCGTGCCTGGGCCAGGGTGGGGTGGGACCATGCCCCTCTCGGACAGGGTGACAGCCGGGCAGCTCCGGAGCAGCGGGCACACACGGTCCGGACTTTCCCGCTGCCCTGGAGCCTGGTCAGCTCTGGAGTAGAGATGGGGGAAGCCAGAAGTTCACCCATTGGGAAGCCACAGCCCGTTGCCAGCAGCAACAGAGTGCCGCTTCCATTGCTGAATTACTAGAGATACTTCATCTTGGTGAAGTAATGCAGAAACTATACTTGTTATTATTCTTCATCCAGAGACCCTCTGACCCATCTTCACCCCTGTGACACAAATCTCTGTTCCTGCCACACCCAAGATGAAGCAGCAGCACGGAGAGTTTAAAACCAAAACTTCAGAAAAGGCTCGAGGTTGGGGCCCAAAACAATTTTCTGCATCTCAGAAGTAAGCAGCACCTATCAGAGATCAGTTTGAAAATGCTGACTTGGGAGAGAAACAAACGTGTTCTCCTTATTTGCAGACCCAGCAGAGCCCAGCAGAGCAGCCCTGGCTGTGCGAGCTCTCTTGGTGCAGGCAGTGGAACAATGCCAGCTGGCAGCAGCTGAGGATCTGGTTCCTCTTCTGTTCTATTTGTGCATGGACTATGCTGGAACCTGCCAGTGATAGCTAGTAGCTGTCCCCGGCCTTACAGCTGCCATCGGAGGCTTGGAGTGTGCCCAGCCTGCAGATCAAACTTCCAGCACCAGGATGACAACTGGGAAAGGAGGGTGTTAGGGAAAGATGATCCACCCCAGCTCTGCCGTGTAAGCTGTGGGCTCTGCCCATCCTTGCACTCAGTCTCCCTATATGACTGTCTGCAGCTTGGACCAGGAGGAGCTGGGGGGCAGAAACATCTGGACATGGAAATGGTTGTCTAAGCCAGGTCAGGAATTTTTGACACAGGACTGCTTTTAGAGCTAGGTCTGTGGGCACAGGAATCCTTCAGCATGAACAGGACACTAAGAGCAAGAAAAAGAACCCCCATTCTCCCTCAACCAGATTTTCAGCTGCTTCATTTTCAGGCAGCCTTTTTTGGTTTTTCAGAACTGACACCACATTCAGCTGAAGGCCTAACCCATTTTGTTTCCAAAATTCAGGAGCTGTTCAAGATCTAAAGCCATACTATACAAAGCCCTTGGGCCTGCTTCACTCCTTTCACTTAGGCTCTTTTTCCACATCTTATTTCCTTGGTAGTGGCTTTTTAAAAAATGGGTATTATCATAATGGAAAATTTCCCTGAATAGCACAAATTGATGGATTCTGCCTGAGCAGTTGCTTGATCTGCTCAATAATTCTTTCCCTGCTGGGCTGTTGCTGCTGCTGCTACTGGTGTTATTGTGACAATGATTTCAAATTTGTCGTCTTTGTCCCCAAGTGTCCACTACACCTGAGCTCAGCTGTGGTCAGTAATGGCTGGAGAAGTCCATGGAAGCCCCGTGGTTTAAGCAGAGTGCTGGGCTTAATGGTCAGTGAAGGGCACAGTCCCCTTCATCTGCAATGAACTCGTGACCCAGCACAATGTTAGGAGAGACCAGAGCAGAACCGTTAGTATTCAAATTTTTCTGGAAACTCCATGGAGTTTGACAGCTCCCACAGTCTCCCAGGCAATTCAGAATTCCCATTTGCTTCACAAAGTTGTTTCCAGGAGGTTGAGATAGGCCCTGATGTGTGGCAAGGCATTTACCTGCTCAGGGAGCTGCAGGACAAGTGGAGGTGACTACCCCAGCTGCTGGCTGACCACGGCACAGCCTGGTGCTGCTTGCCTGGGGTGGTTTCCCTGCTCCAGTTGTTAGTGGCAGATGTTGATCACACTGCTTCCTGCAGTTGTGGACAGCAGTCAGGCACCACAGTATGGGAACTGCTCAGTAACCTTGTCTGCAATGAACAGAGGGGAGCTGAACAATGGCTCGTTTCTCTTTGCAGGCACATCTTTTTCTCTTCAGAGCTCGCTAACCCCTCTGTCCCAGCTGCATTCCAGCCCAGAGATGTAATGTCTGCTAAACTGCAGAGAAATTACCAGAGAACTGCTACAGAAGTTCTCAGGTCAGCTCAGCTCCAGAGGTAGCTGTGTTTTCAGGGAAGCAACTGATGATCTAAAGTTACATACAGTGCTTTTACAAACAAAGTGTGCAAATACTTTCCATAAGCTCATCCCATGGTGTTTTGCAACTCTTGATCATTTGCACAGTAGAAGTATGAAGCAATTAAAGTTCTCAGCATGAACAGATCTATCAAATTTCACGACTCCAATCCAAAATTGGACTAATTTTAAAATTAATATTGATAATTGCCAGTGCATGACTAAGCTTGAGTGGGTGCTTTCATGAGGGATTGAGAAATACTTGGTGTCTTTTGATGGAGGACTGATGCAACCCACCCTTTCCAGAGCAGCAATGAGCAGGGATGAGCAGCAGTGGAGTAATGGATAGTGCAGGGACTCACCACAACAGGGAGCTCCTACTTTGGGTTCAATAAAAAGCATGCTGAGATATGGATACCTCACAGCTGAATGTCATCTTATTGGGTATGTTCCCACTGGTAAGGGGATCAATGCAGCTTTCCAAAAATTAGAAGGAAGAGACAGAAGTAGGAAAATGCTCTGTCCTGGGGCAAATAGAGACCACCTGGTTCAGCCTGGGGTACACCAGAGACAAGGGCTCTGAGGTTGTCCCCACACAGATCTCCAAGTTACTGCAAGGAGACAGAGCTGGAGTAGAGAGGGGAGAGTTATCACCAACTCCAGGTGAATCAGGCATGACTTTGGGGGCTCTCAGAATGCTTAAAAACCATTTTTCTTATTTTGAACAGGCATTGCAAAACTGTGCTGATGAATTGGGGAACCGTGGGAAAGATTGTGCCTGTCTCCAAGAGCTCTGCACTGTTCATTTGTTCTCATTCTCTCCTAGGCCAAGTCTAGTGTGGTTCCCACCCCAAAGAAAACCCATCAGAGGTGATGCTGCAGGAGAGGTCTCACGTGAGGGCCCTGCGTTGGAAGGGCAGCTCTGCACTTCTGTAGCTGATGGGAGAGGACAACAGCTTGGTAACAGGAGCTACCAAGAGCTGGCAGGATGAGTTACAGCTCACCCTCTGTGCATGACTTGCATCGCAGCACCCCCAGCACGGCCAAGCCAGACCTAGGGACACATCTGGATGTGACTGTGCCACAAACACCCACTGTAAGCCCTGAGACTACCAGTTTCAACAGCACCAAAATCCCCGATGTGGTCAGCACTGGACCTGGCATGAGCACCATGCTGCTTTCCTTTGGGATCATTACTGTGATTGGGCTGGCTGTAGCAATGGTAAGAGAGCCCAGCTAAACATTCCTGTCTCTTGAGGGTGGAGGGTGGTTAGAGGTTCTAGGACTGATTTGTACTGAATAATTTATTTGCATTCTATTAAAGTCTCACACAAAACTGCTGGGAACTGATAGTTCCTGAGATTCCTTTCTTTTTAAGGCCTTTATCAAGTGCTCCAATATTTCTGCAGTCTCTCTGAGGTCCAAATGGGATGCTCAGCAGGCCTAGGAGCTGATATGTAGTATCAGTATTTGTTTTTAATAGCAATGGGAAGTTCAGTTAAAAGGAATTAAAAGCAGTTTCTGTTCTGACTTGTTACCTGGAACAGCTGCATTGATTTAAACCTTCTCTTGGGCCCCACAAGAAAGTTTATCCATATTATCCATGGTTGAAACCATGTTAGTCCCCCCTGTGGATATGGGGTAATTCTTTTTGAATTAAAGTGGCCTGAATCCATCTCAGCAAGGCTCATCTTGGACTGCATTTCCAAGGTTCTGCATGCTGGGTATCAGTCCTTAAGGGTTTGGTGTGTCACTAACCTTGTCATTAATGTGGGCAGAAGCTTTCAGAAACCCCAGTTCTGGCCCCACCATGGGCAGTGCAAGAGCTCAGCTCTCCTTTTATGTAACCAGATCATTTCCCTGCCAACAGAGAACAGAAGGTAGCAGCAAGCTCCCATTCCTCGTACGAGGAAGGGAGTCACTAATGCAGTCATCAGAGGAGCCTACTGCAAAATTTCATTGCAGGCCCCAGGAGGAGTTTTTCCAAAAGCCCCTAAGAAAACCTGGAAACGGTCAAAAGCTCCCAAGAGCAGCATCCAGCGTTCCTAGTTCTCAGAACAAGGCTGTGGAGGCCCAAAGCCTCCCTTTCTTCCCAGCAGAGGCAAGTCCCTAAGCATGTCCTCCCTCTTTGCTTCTTCCCTTTGTACTGGGGAGGGGGT